ATCTCTAAAAAGAAAGGACACAACTGGAAAACGGGATGGAGACAACACAAGGCAAACGGCATTCAAGACTGTGATACTGGTACTAAAACCAGACATATATGGCCAAGGAGAGAGTTCAGCAGAAAAAAGTGCTTGCCTATAAACCTAACAACCTGAGGCTGGTGCCTCAAAACCATATAAAAAGCTGAGTCTATAATCCCAGTACTACGAGGGCAATGTGGGAAGCAGAGACACAATGAGGTAGAAGCTCACTCACCCAGCACAACAGCAGAAATGAGAGAGATCCTGTCTCAAAACTAGGTGAAAGGAGAGAAGCAACTCCTTAAAGTTTCATCTGCCTCTACACACACACACACACACACACACACACACACACACACACACACACACACACAGAGACACACGCACACACGTGCACGCACACAATATTTTTTTAAAGGTGAGGAGGTTTTTGCAGTGGTTTGAAAGAAAATGGCCCCCCAATCGAAGTGAGAGAGGAGCGATAATATGAACAAAGGAGTCAAGACCATGATGGGGAAACAGAATCAGCTGACCAGAGCTAGTGAGAGATCACTGACTCAGGTCTGACAAATGGGGACCCTGCATAATATAGATGACAATGGTGCAGCTGGGATAATATATGAGGTCACTGGTAGTGAGTCTAAGATCTAACTCTAATGTACAAACTGACTTAGTGGAACCTATTCGATATGGAGAGATACCTTGCCCAACCTAGACAAAGGGGTGCGGGGGGGTGGAGAGGTGCCTTTGTCCTGCCTCAACTAGATGATAGGACAGACTTAGTAGACTTTTTAGGGGAGGCCTTACCCTCTCCATGAAGCAGATGGGAGGAGGGGGGAGAGTGGAATAGTGGGAGGAGAAGAAGGAGGGAAGGGGAACTGGGATTGGAATATAAAAATTAATAAAAAAAAAGGAAATGGCTCCCAAAGGGAGTGGCACTATTAGGAGGTGTGGCCCTGTTGGAGGAAGCATGTCACTGTGGGTGAGGGCTTTGAGGTCTCTTTTCCTCAAGCTTCTCTCATATGAGTCAGTTGACTTCCTGTTGCCTAACATGTAGGACTCTCCGCTGCAGCACCACATCTGCTTGCATGCTTCCCACCATGACGGTAATGGACTGAACCTCTCAAACTGTAAGCTGCCCCCTCAATTGACTGTTTGCCTTATAGGAGTTGCCATGCTCATGCTGTCTCTTCACAGCAATAAAAACCTTAACTAAGACAGTTATTTTGTTTATGTATTGGGATAAAAATCTTGTATAGCTCACGCTGGTCTTAAACTTATGTTGTAAGGGTAATCAAACTGACCCTCCTGCTTCAAATCTTCTAAACCAATGGTTGCCAACCTGTGGGTCATGACCAGACAAGGGTCGAATATCAGATACTTAGATTAACAATTCATAACAGCAGGAAAAGTACAGTTATGAAGTAGCAATGAAATAATTTTAATATTGGGGGTCATCACAACATGAGGATCTGTATTAAAGAGGTGCAGCACTAGGAAGGTTGAGACCACTGTTGTAAATACTGTGATTATAGACATGAGCCAGTTTACGCAGTACTGAGTACTAAACAGGAGCACTCGGGCAACACTCAGTCCTTTAAAAAAGCTGAAAAAGAAAAATAATTTTATTTATTTATTTTGTTTTGTTTTAGTCTTTCAAGACAGATTTTCTCTGTGTAGTTTTAGAATCATCCTAGAACTCACTCTATAGTGCAGGCTGGCCTCAAACTCGCTGAGATCCACCTGCCTCTACCCCCATCCCCCCACCCCATGCTAGATTAAAGGTGTGAGTCACCACCACCTGGCTGAGAAACAATTTTTAAAAAAGAGAGAGACCAGACATAAGAATGACTTGGCAGACTGCAAAGCCAGAAACACACTTATTCAAGTACAGTGAGGTGATTTTTGAAGATAAATTGAGGGTAAGAGAGTGGGGCATGACAGTCTCTCCAATGGTGTTAAGATAACTAGGTATCAGGAAAACAATGAACCTCAAAAATCACACCTCACACCAACCATGAAACTGAACTTCATCCACCAGAGATCTACATAAAAAAGCAGAACTACAAGAATCTATTTAAAAAAACCGAAAAATTTTTGTGACCACAAGAAACGCAAAAAGATTGTTAAGAAAGCTTGAAAACACACACACACACACACAAAACACAGACAAACCATAAAAAAGTAAATATGACCTTACCAAATCTATAAGTTTCTCTTTGAAATACATCTTTAAGAAAATGAAAAGTCAAGTATGGTGATACACGCTTTTAACCCCAGCACTAGGGAGGCAGAGGCAGATGAATCCCTGTGAATCCAAGGACAGCCTATACTTTAAAAAAAAAATTCGCCGGGCGGTGGTGGCGCACGCCTTTAATCCCAGCACTCGGGAGGCAGAGGCAGGCGGATCTCTGTGAGTTCGAGGCCAGGCTAGACCGACAGCCTCCAAAACAATACAGAGAAACCCTGTCTCGTAAAACCAAAAAAAAAAAAAAAAATTAACAATACCACAGAATGGACAAAAATAACATTTATCAGATTTATTCGCCAAATTATTAAAAAAATTTAGATAACTCAAATGTTTAAATATGAGGGAAAGATTGTATAAGTGGCCAAATGAACATGAAAAAAATCTTAAAATCATTAGCCCTCAGAGAAATACACTCTTAAAACCAAAAGGAGACATTACTACATCCTCACGAACAGGCAAGTGCTGATGAGAACATTAAATAGTATACAACGGAAGAGTATGGCAGTTTCTTATAGATACCACACAATCTGGTCATTCCATCTCTATACATTCATCCAAGATAAATTAAAAGATGTCCATACAATTGCTTGTAAACAAATGTTTATAGCAGTTTTATTTAAAACAGCACAACTCCAAACAAGCCAGTATGGAGAAAAGCTGTAGACAGTGGTGCTCGGGCAATGCACCATCCCCAGAAATAAGAGCCTTGAGTTAATGGCACAACAAACAGCAGATACCAGCCTATACCAGCCTTACAACAGATGCACAATGGACAAGAAGATATACAGGGTACATTTACAACAAATGCCACAGTAGCAAAGCCCATCTACTCAGACAAAAAGGTAGTGTTGAGTTCCCAGGGCCCATGTGAAGAACACTGCAAACCCTGTGGGGACACTGATGTGAGGGGACATTTTGTATTGACTGTAACATGGTGGCAAGGGTGTTGGTCAAACTCATTAAACTGTACACTTAAAATTATAAATTTTAGCCAGGTGGTGGTAGTGCACGCCTTTAATCCCAGCACTTATAGGTGGAGGCAGAAGCAGGCAGATCTCTGTGAGTTCAAGGCCAGCCTGGTTTATAGAGTGAGTTCCAGGGTTACACACAAAAACCCTGTCTTGAAAAAATCAAAAAACTATACAGTTTATTATTTATATGTATATTGATGATGTTAACTTTTATATCTTTCATTCCAGAATTTTATGTTACCTTTACTGTATAGAATGTTTTAGAAAGAAAAAATAAGAACCAAATTCTTGAAATTATTCAAATTTATAACAGTCTGGGACCAAATGTTAATATACAAGTAATATGTAACACCGAATAACTTTTAAAAACGACATTTGTGTGTATCATGTGCACACTCATGCATGGATGTCAGCACAGCTGTTGGGAGTTGGTTCTCCCCTTCTACCATGTGGGTTCTGGGGTCAAATACAGGTCTTCAGGCTTGGCAGCAAGCACTGTTACCGAGCCAGCCCAACAAAGAATATTTAAAAGCAAGGACTGGAACCCCTGACCTGTAACTCATTAAGGCAGACAGCACATATGAAAAGATGGCATCCATGTCTAGCATTTCAGCTAAGGACCTCAATGACAAGACAGAACTGTCACTCTATGAAGTCTCATGGGTTCCCTGTCAGTCCCATTCCTTTTCTGTCCTTGCCCACAGCTACTATATTCAGTACTGAAATGTCCTGTACTAAATCAACACAATCAGCTCCTTTTTAAAACAACATTTTATGGTTTTACTCTAAAATCCCTTAAGTTGTATTTCACTTATATCACCTGGCTCATTTGCCAGTTAGGTAGGGTGTGTACAAGAGAGTGCCTAATTCTTTTTCTGTTGTTTCTTTTTGTTTATTTTCAGACAGGGTTTCTCTGTGTAGACCTAGCTGTCCTAGAACTCACTCTGTAGAACAGGCTGGCTTCTAACTCAGAGATCCACCTGCCTCTGCCGCCCAAGTGCTGGGATTAAAAGTGTGAGCCCCCATCTCCCAGCATAAGAGCGCCTAATTCTTGACCCACATATATATTATGTGAACTGTCTGCCCAAAGTTTGTCATCATCAACAGCATTCTTTGACCCAATAAAACATCTGCGGCAAAGACTGTAGGCATATTCCCATTCTTTGGGTCTTAATCTTATTCATCTGAGTGGCAGTCACCATTACTAAATGTGATACATCTAGTATCATGAGATAAGTAAAAGCACAAGGTTAAAGGAAAACACTAATGCTTGGTAAAACTGTAAAAATGAACCAAATATTCAACATCTACAAAAAAAGTGTCCACTTGATGTAGTCCCCATAAGGACTCATTTTCTTCTTTCCAATTTTCCAAGATTTAAGTAAACCCATCAAATCTGGCCAGTCAAAAACTGGAGCTAGTTAACACATACTTACATAAAGGTGACTGTCAAGGAGCAGACAACCTTAGAATGATGGCACGTGATAAGGAACTGGAGGTGCACTATCTGTCCCAGCATCCTTCACGAGGGAAGTAACACACCTCACTATAAGGACATGCATTCCAACTACTGCACAGGACTGAGCAGGCACTCTGCCTTGCCAGTCATAAATAGCATGGAATCACACACAAAAAGTTTCAAGTAGCTTACACCAGTTACTAATGCACTGCCATTGTCCCTTTGTGTTAACGGAGAACTCATTAGTGCTGTACCTAAGTTTCACTTGTGCTTTACGGTCACTCTTCTGAATTCTTACATTTTTGTGACATTCCTTAAGCAAGTTAATCAAGACGTTGCATTCCTCAGTGTGCAAGTGTGGAGACAAGTCAGGATGCATCTTTAGGAGGATGAATAAACGCAGGGCGACCTGTAAACACAAGAATGCTTGAGTATGCATGAATACATTTGTATTTTCAATGACAGCCTGCAATGACCTTTATCAGAATAAAGTCAACCATGAACCAACTGTGTAGCCTGAGTCAAGCAATCAAAGCTAGCCTTAGCTCCTTTACAGTGATGGAAACAGCCAGCACATTTCTGGGCTTTCGAGAGCCTGCAGGTCCTGAAGAGGAAAAGCAGCCCTCATGCAGGAACACTTGCCTACACCAATGCTGGACTCTAAAAACTTTGCTCTCCCTCCTGGAATTGACTACTATTCACCTTATTGAGGTGAAAGTTTACCAACTATAAGAATTTGCTTATTCTTTTAACTTATTTGTTCCTCGAGCAGAGTTATAAAGGGCCATAAGTCTATCTCACATTAGTGTGAATTAATGCAGACTGCTTTTTAAACAGTCTGGGTTTAACTGGTTGGGAAAACTTAGCTAAATGATGAAGAGAAACAATAAGCAGTTTTCAAATTTAACAGGTCTGTGCACAAAAGTAATTATTGCACCAAAAACAGACATCCAAGAGTCCAGAAATTAGTTTATTTGGTCAACTACAAAAGAGATAATTAGCAACCAAGATTAAGGAAATGCATTATTTTAAAGTGTCTGCTATAGTTATATAGTATTTACTCTATTTTTAACTACACTTTCTAAGTCAAAAACATGACCACAAGAACCACTTAATTGTTTTAATCTTAAAATCTCCCAAAAAAGAAAACAGAAGAACTACCCCAAATCTATTAAGAAAGCCACTGTTAGCCAGCTGTGGTGGCCCATGCCTTTAATCCCAGCACGCAGGAGGCGGTAGGAAGCGAATCTCCATGAGTCTGTAGCCAGCCTGGTCCACAGAGTGAGTTCTAGGACAGCCAGAGCTTTACACAGAGAAACAAAAGAAAAAGAGAAAAGATAGGAAAGGAAAGGAAGAGAAAAGGAAAAGGAGAGAGAAAGGAAGCCAGCTATTGTCACCAAGCATAGTGGTGCATTTCTTTAATCCCAGCACTTGGGAAGCAGAGGCAGTTTCCTAGCCAGCCTGGTCTACCAAGAGAATTCTAGGACAGCCAGGGCTACACAAGAGAAACTGTCTCTCTTAAACCAACCAACCAACCAAACACACAAAAAGAAATTTGAGGGGAAAGGGGGATGGGTGCTGAGAAATGGCTCAGTAGGTAGGAGGTATGAGCTTGCTGTCCTTACAGAACTGGGTTCCATTCCCAGCACCCACATCAGGCAGCTCACAACCCCTCTAACTACAGCTCCTGGGAATCCCATACCTTCTTCTGTCCTCCAAGGGCACATGCATGCACGCGGGCGGGCACACACACACACACACACACACACACACACACACACACACACACATGTTTTTTTAAGTAAAGGAAAGTAAGTGCTGGAGAGGCTGCAAAGAAACTGGGGAGACTGTAACCCTTGTACACTGCTGTTGTGACATAAAATGGTATGGCTACTCTGAGAGTCATCTAAACATTCTAAATATTTTACAGGGGGCCCACACCTACAATCCTAACACTCAGGAGGCAGATGCTGAACAAGTTTAAGGTCAATCTGATACAGTTGCATAGCACATCTCGGGACAGCCTAGGCTACATAGCAAGACTGTCTCAAAAAGGGAAAGAAAAGAACCAGAGTTTCATCAGTGAAGGGTGCTTCCTGCTCTTGCAGAGGACCCAGGTTCGGTTCCCAGAGCCCACAAGGCAGCTCACCGGTGTCTAACTCTACTTCTGGGGTGCCAATGCCCTTTTCTGGTCCCTGCCAGCACTGCACATACATTATGCAGAGAACTCCATCACACATAGGAAGTAGATTTGTTTTTCAAAAAAGGGGAAATTGAAAATAGAATTACTATATGGCCTAGCACTTCCATTCCAAGATATACCCCCCCCCAAAGAACTGCAGGCAGCATCTAGAAGAGATACTAAGACACCCACATGCATAGCAGATTATTCCCAACCTCAAAGCAAGCAACCAGAATGTCCACACAGGTAGGTAAGCAAGCACTACCTTGGCCACACACTATGGAATACCATTAAGCCTTAAAAGGAAAGTAACTACATGCTGCAACATGGATGAAGTTGAGGATATGCTGAAGAAAATATTCCCGTCTCAAAAGTGAGAGAGAGAGAGAGAGAGAGAGAGAGAGAGAGAGAAATATCTAATAGCATTGCCTGAAATACTTAGTCCACGTGTTAAAAGTATGAAGTCGAGTGGCAGATGTTAGGCACTGAGGGAAAAAACATGAAAGTTGTGTAAGGGGCAGTTTCCCTTTCACAAGGAAAAAATGTTGCCATGAAAGATGGTGGCGGCTGCTGTGAAACATTAACCTGCTCCATACTGTGTCTGGAAATGGTTAAGAAGGTACATTTTTGGTTAGGCATTTTGCTATAGCCGAGAGAAGGAGCAGAAAATAACCAAAGCATGCCATTATGTTGGACAAAGAGTTCTTAGATCAATCAATAGATCATCCATAAAATAAAAATTCCTTTATCTCATCAAAATTAAAATCTTTTGCGCTTTAGAGAACACAGTTAAGAAAACGAAAAGTTCCAGGCTGGCAAGATGGCTCGGCTGACAGTCACTTGCTGCCAAGCCTGATGACTTGAGTTTCAATCCCCAGGAGCCACTTGGTGAGAACTAACTCTCAGAAGCTATCCTCTGACTGCTACACAAGCACTACAGCACACACATGTCATTTCCCTACCATATACTGTAGGGAGCTCTGAGTGAGTTAAGTCCCAAGTGAATGTATATTGTTTACATGGTCACAACCATGTAGACCCAGGGAGAAAATGACAAGGCCTTTACCTTGAGGGTAAGACTCAAAGAGAAATGGCAAAGCTGTCCCTCTGGTCTGTGTGTAGATACTGATAGAGTGTGTAGAAATGCCCACCCCCAGGTATTTACAGCCTGAAGACTGGCCCCCTACATAGGCTGTTCCTACACAGATTAGCTAAACCTGTCTTCTTGGTCCAGCTGATACCATAAACTCTGTCTCCTCCTTTATCTGTATGTATCTCCCACTGTCCTCCTTGATCTAGCTGACTACAGTAACCCCACATCCCTGTTCAACTCTATATAATAAACACTCTGAGTTGCTGTTCCTCCTGCCAACTGCCCAGACCACTGGATCCCAGTTTTTCTGTCTCTTCATTCACTCATTTCCCCAGTCAGGTCTGTCCCTGAAGCCATGCTGGATGTGGCAACATACAAAAACAAGAAATGTAAATTTTTAAAAAATCAATCTTAATTAAAAAAAAAAAGAAAGTGGGAGTCCCATTGGGATGACGGTGATGTGACAATGTCATCAACTATAATATCCATACAACTCTAGTTTCAGGGCTCTGACAGCTCTAGACAGGTTGAGGAAAGGGGGTTATGGGTGGGATCTCTGTAATTTCTGATCAGTTTTACTACAAACTTATACCTACTCTAAAAACTTCAGTCTATTAAACAAAAGAAATCACAAAAAGTGATTGTAGACTTATCTAAGAATATAAAAAGAAGGCCTACTATTCAGTAAAACAACCCAATTTGTAGGAGCCAAAAGGTGGGCAAAGTAATTAAAGAGATGCTTTTAAGATATAAGAATAATTAAGCAGAGGCAGACACCCACAGCTAAAAACCGAATTGAACCCCTGGGACCCAGTTGTAAAGAGAAGTGATGCGCAAAGGAATCAATATCAGGCCACATCAGTATCAGATCCCACAGAGGCATCTGACCTAAACATGAGGGAACGCATGGACCCCAGACTGATGACTGAGAGGCTAGCATGGGACTGATCCAGACACCCCCCCCGCCCCGCCCCAATCCCAGGTGTCAGAGAAGAGGCCTCAGCAATATATGAGACCTTGAAGAGTAGAGCAGTACTTATTCCTGGTATACAAATAGACTCTGGGAGCCCATTCCACATGGAGGGAGGACCTAGGTCCTGCCCAGGATGATATAACAGACTCTGAAAATTCCTTATGGAAGCCTTACCCTCCCTGGGGAGCAGAGGAGGGATGGAGTGGGGTGAGGGGTTGGGAGGATTGGAAGGCCGGGGGAGGAAGGGAGGGAGAGGGAACTGAGAGTAACATGTGTAAAAAGATAAATAAAGGAAAAAAAAAGAATAATTAAGTTAATGAAGCACATGAAAGATATGCAAATAAAAACTAGGAGATACCAAGATGCCTACCAACATAGTTAAACAGATGCCCAATGATAGTGGAGGTACGTCCAGATACATCCATTACAAGGTAAAGATATTGTAGCTGGGCTCAGCAGGTAAGACCATGTACTCTTCCAGAGGACCCAAGTTCATTTCCCAGTAGCTATGTCAGGTGACTCCAGCTCCAGCTCTTACACTCAAACATGCACACACCCACACATAGATATACAGAGTTACATAAAATTAAACACTTCAAAAATCTATTAAGCCAAAAATATGTCTGGTATTTGTAACACGAAGTCTCTTTTATAATAAAGTTCTGATTTTCCCAGATACAGTTGAATGTAGTATTGAAAGTGAAAAATAGAAAGGCTGTGTAGGTACACACCTGAAGCACACTGAGCCTCAGGAAGCGTGTGAAGCACTGGACTAGAATTAGTGGCTGTGGCATGGATGCTAGAGCCGTTGATACAGTCATCAGTGACCTCTTCTGAGGAGGCTGGAGTAAAGCCGAGGAAGGCACAGAGCTAATGACACTTGCTGGCTTAGTAGACACTGTATTTTCCAGGACAATGCCAAGTTTTGACTTCCCACTTTTGTTTTCTGGGAGGTATTTCTTTATAGCAAGCCTAAGAGCATCCTTTATTTGCCTGTCAGCACTCACAAATCTCCCACAATGGCCATCTCCTAGCATCCGCATGCCCTGGGCTAACAGTAGCAAAGGCTTCTGCCAGTTTTTTGGCTGTGAACTTTCTTGGTGCCTTGGGCACGACTTCTTCCTCAGCTCCAACTGTTTTCTTTCTTCCTACAGTTCCATT